GGTATACCACAATCCCAAAAGATGTCTTCCAGCAAAGCTCTGTGTTACCCACGCCCGCCATGTTATCCCGACATCTGCCCAGACCCCTATGTTGATGCCTGGAACGAGCCTTGTCTCACCTCATGCGGTGACTCGAGCGCAGTGGTCTATGCACCGCCGGTTGTCGTGAGATTCCCGGGACCGATTCTTGCTACCTGCCCTCAAGACAGCGTTGTGGGAAGTACCTTGCCAAATTTACCCTATGGGTATGGGGGCCTATATGGAGGTGGTAGTTTTGGTGGCTCAGTTGGATCCGGGGGTGCTTATGGAGGTGGATCCGGTGCTGGGTATGGTGGTGGATACGGGGGCGGATATGGAGGCAAATACGGGGGCTTCTATGGGTATGGGAAGAGCTATGGTAGGAAGTGCTATTCTTCCCGCTTTGGAAGCTGTGGCCCATGTTAAAGAAAGATCCACGGAACAAGAAACAACCAGGAAATGAAAGCGACGATGGAGATTCGCCTCTTAGCTAATGGAATAGGAGCACCTACAACTCCACATGTAATCAGTGGGGGCTGTGTGTAAATCAGGCCGATCAAAGTCTTCCCTTCTTACATGTTACCTTAACTGTACGGTCTAAGAATTGTGCAGCTTAGTTTTATGCTCATATTGTACTTTGACCTCTTTGAGGCTGAAAGGTCTACAACAAGTAACTTAATTGGATGAAAAACGGGACACGGTTTTCAATTCTGCAGGTGTGGGAAAGAGAACAGAACATCTTGTGTCAAACGCATCACTTTAGAGATAGTGATTCATTGTAGCTCCTATTGTAACCCTGAATATACAGTCTCTGTGCTTTGCATTAACTCATTCTGTAAGTGTGAACTCCGACGCTCATTCCCATTAAAAATTATGCTGCATCTTAATATTGGCCTTCTGGTTTTCCTTTCCCCTCCATTCTTTCTTTCGAAAGCACTCGGGGTGAAATTCTCCCCTGTGCCGATGGTCAATACCAACCCTATGTACTAACCAATCCCACTCAAATCCATAAGTAAGAGAAGAATCAGGTACATTAGTTGGTTAATGGAATTATGCAGGCCCTCTACGGGGAGGAAATACCATGTTGTTACGTGTCTCACATAGAATTAAACTAAATATATAACTCTCAATTAGAATATGGTTTCCTGCTCTAAATATTATACAGAATTGTAGAATCTTTGTAATGTAGTAGTGGAAGGAACCTCAAGAGTACATCTAGTGCAGCCCAGTGAGCTGAGGCTGAACCAAGTACACCTAGATCATCCCTGACAGGTGTTTGGCCAACCTGTTCTTTATACCTTCCGGGGATAGGGATTCCGCAAGTTCCCTTGAAAGTCTAAAATCAGTGCTTAACTATCATCAAAGTTAGAAATTTTAGGCCTATATATAACTTAAAACTCCCTAACTGCAGATTAAAATAGTTCCTCCTTGTGCTTCCTTTAGTGGACGTGGGCAACAATTGAACACCATCCCCTCTATAACAGCCCTGAACATACATGAAATCAGCTGTCAGATACCGCCCCCCTGCCCTTCCCTCAATTTTCGTTTCTCAGGTCTAACTATACCGAGTTTTCTTTAACCTTTCCACATAGTTCAGGTATTCTAAAACTTTCACCATTTTTGTAGCTCTCCTCTGGACACACCCCAATAGGTCCACTTCTTTCGTGCTAATGTCTGTTGCCCAAAACCGGACAAAATGCTCCATCCGAAGCCCCACCGCTGCCAGTTAGAGCCGGACAATTTGCTTCCTAAGTATGGGACTTTGCAGTTGTCTTTATTGAATTGAAGCTTCTTGATTTCAGACCCTTTCTGCAATTTATCAAGGTCAGTTGGAGTTCAAGTCCTGTCTCCAAAGGGCTTTGAGACCCTTTCAACTTGGTGTCATCCACTAATTATCGAATTGTACTCTCCACACCAATACCCAAATCGTTAATTAAAATATCGCATAGTACAGGAACCACGAGCACCTCCTATGTCTCCCTGCGACATATGGCTTCCCACATAGAAAGAAACAGCATTGGTCACTCGTCTTTGAGTACGGACTTTCTACCAGTTATGCAACCACATTTTAGAAATTTCATCTCAACTGTAACTAGCTCATAAAGAGATAGGCTCCCTTTCTGATAGTGTCTGAAGCTTTAACCGGAAGCATGAGGAGCTACAGGGGAGAAGGATCAGGAAACAGGGATATTTTCTGTGGTGAGTCTTTCAGTCCCATCCACAACTCAATTCCAGAGAGCTGGGAGATATAGATCCCTCCCATCATCCCACCTCAAATACTGAATGCACGTGCGCCCCTTGAAAAACTACACATGCAGCAAAATTATGAGAAAATGTACCAGGACATACAAAACAAAATAGTGATATAAACATCAGAACAATGCAAATTCAGCACGTGTATCCCAATCTCCAGCTAAATCTTGCCAACTGCTTGCCCTAAATCTTGCCCACCAGCCAACTTTTCATGTCACGCCAAATTGTGTTTGGGTTTCCACACATTCCAATTTTGTCTGGAGCAGGAAGAAAGACTGAATAGCTCTTTGCTCCTTTCCAAGGTGAAACAACGGGGCCAGAGAGGTTTGCAGCTACGTCCCAGGCAAAGAGAGGTCTCCTCAGAGCCGGGGAGAAACTCGAGCCATAATCCAGTGCCAAGCTGGCTGTCATGGATTGGGAGGAGCACAAAGTCCATGCCATCCCGAGTACAGGTATGCAACCTCACCCCGATGCGGGACAGTGTTGGAGAGCCACGGGGGAAAAGACTGAGTCAGACTTGCATATGAGGAGACCGAAGAGAGGGGATCAATCTGAGCAAAATGTGTCAGGCTATCTATGACTAGAACCAAGGCCAAGATTTTCAGACGTGACTAGTGATTGCTGATGCCTCATGTCTTGGGTGCTCAACTCGAGTTACCATGACAGGGCCTTTCTGATATTGCTCAGCGCTCGTCTTCTGAAAAGAGAACTCCATGAATGTTCCTCTGGCAGCCCAAAACTGAGTCTCCCAATAACACCTGATCCTTCAGAAAATCATGACGTAACTAGATAGCTTGGCAAGATTAAAGGCTTGGCTTTGCCCTGCCTCTGGTACAAGACACAGGTCTGGATTCTGTTCTCCTTTGCACTTGTAAAAACCCAGCACTGCTCCTTTGTCCTCTACAGAGTAACCCCAGAATTACAACAGTTTAACATGAGAATTTACCCTTTTGTGTCTTTATCACTAGCTTAGTGGGTTCTTCACTAGCTTGTTGTTCACTCGTTACAAAGTGAGGTTACAAAAAACTGTGCATGTTTAAACTTCAGAAATTGAAAACAGAGGGAGAGACCTGACAACAGTCTTCATGTATGTTCAGGGCAGTTATAGAGAGGATGGTGATCAATTGTTCTCCATGTACACTAATGTTAGGACAAGGAGTAATTGACTTAACCTGCAACAAGGGACATTTAGGTTTCATACAAGCATAAACTTTCTAACTATCATGATCGTTAAGCTGTGATTTTAAGCTTTTAAGGGAAGTAATGGAATCCCCGTCACTGGAGGTTTTAAGAACAAGATATACAAACACATCAGGGATTGTTTAGGTGTGCTTGGTCCTGTCTGAGTGTACAGAGATGGACTACATAAGAACATAGGAATGGCCCTGCTGGGTCAGACCAAAGGTCCATCTAGCCCAGTATCCTGTCTTCCAACAGCGGGCAGCGCCCGAAGCCCCAGAGGGACTTAACAGAAGAAGTCGTCATCAAGTGATCCATCTCGTGTTGCCCATTCCCAGCTTCTGGCAGACAGAGGCTAGGGACACCATTCCTGCCCATCCTGGCTAATAGCCATTGATGGACCTGTCCTCCATGAATTTATCTCATTCTTTTTTGAACCCTGTTATAGTCTTGGCCTTCACAACATCCTCTGGCACGGAGTTCCACAGGTTGACTGTGCGTTATGTGAAGAAATACTTCCTTTTATTTGTTTTAAACCTGCTACCTATTAATTTCATTGGGTGACCCCTAGTTCTTGTGTTATGAGAAGGAGTAAACAACACGTCCCTATCTGCTTTCTCTACACCAGTCATGATTTTATAGACCTCAATCATAGCTCCCATTAGCCATCTCTTTTAGAAGCTGAAAAGTCCCAGTCTTATTAATCTCTCCTCATACGGAAGCCGTTCCATACCCCAAATCATTTTTGTTGCCCTTTACATGACCTCTGAAGGTGTCCTCCACCCTTATACTTACAGAATTCTATGATTCTATAGAATATTTAGAGCAGGGAAACATATTCTTGTTGAAAGTTATTTATTTATTCATTCCCATTCTAAAAGAAACAAGTGTAACAAGGAGGTAACTCCCTCCTGTGCAGAGGCCCTAGACAGTGATATTGGTCAATTAAAATACCTGACTCTCTTCTCACTTATGGGCTTGAGTGTGATTGATGCAGTGCATAGGGTTGGTATTGACCATCGGCAAAGGGGAGAATTTCACCCAGAGTGCTTTGGAAAAAAAGAATGGAGGAGAAAGGAAAACCAGAAAGTCAAGAATGTAATGCCACATAGTTTTTAATGGGAATGACCAGTGCACTTTACATTGCAGAATGAATTAATGCAGAGCACAGAGAATGTATTTTCAGCGGAACAATAGGAGCTAAAAGCAATCACTCTCTAAAAAGCGTGCATTTTGCACAAGATGTTCTGCTGTTTTTCTTTCAGCTGTACGTTTTGAAATTATGTTCCATTTTTCATCAAATTAAGCTCTTGTTGTAGACCTTTCACCATCAAATAGGATAAAGCACAAGAGGAGCTGCAAAACCATTAGACTATAAAGTTAAGGTAGTATATAACAAGGGGACAATATAGATAGGCCTGATTTGTACACAGCCCCCAATGATGTCATATGGAGATGTACGTGCTCATCGTCCATTCGGTGAGTGGGGAATCTTTATCTTCTATTTCATTTCCTGGTTGTTTCTTGTTCCGTGGACGTTTCTTCTGGGTTTAACATGGACCACAGCTTCCAAAGCGGGAAGAATAGCACTTCCTCCCATAGCTCTTCCCATACCCATAGAAGCCCCCGTAGCCACCACCATACCCAGCACTGTATCCACCTCCATAAGCACCCCCAGAACCGACTGAGCCACCGAAACTACCACCTCCATATAGGCCCCCATACCCATAGGGTAAATATGGCAAGGTGCTTCCCACAAAGCTGTCTTGAGGGCAAGTAGCGAGAATTGGTCCCGGGAATCTCACGACAACCGGCGGTGCATAGACCACTGCGCTCGAGTCTCCGCACGATGTGACACAAGGCTCGTTCCAGGCATCAACATATGGGTCTGGGCAGATGTCAGGATAACATGGCGGGCGTGGGTAACACAGAGCTTTGCTGGAAGACATCTTTTGGGATTGTGATATACCTGAAACACAGAGTGAGGAGCAGAGTAGACATTACATGCAATTCACAGTGGCATAGGAGATTCACAGCTGGTGTAATATGGTAATAGATGATAAGGAGGTCCATTTAAAAAAAGATCCATATCTGATCCCATTTCTTCCCTTTAACCCTGTTCACCCATTCACCCTAAGTCTTCTGTCTAACCAACCCCTGTGATGCCTTCGCACAGTCTGTCTCCCTCCTTCCCATGCCAAGCAACTTTCCTATTTCTTTGAGTCCCATCCGCAAACTTTTCTTTATCTACTCAGCCTTTATTGGCCACTTTTCCTTCAGATCACCTCTGCTTTGACCTTCTAACATCTCCATCCCCTGGTTCCACCTTTCTAGTCCTCCTGCTCTCTCTCTCTTGTTTTTTTTTTTTTTTTTTTGAGGCCACCCCCATGCATCCCCTGACCCTTCTTTTTAAATCTTCAAATTCTGATGAAAAGCTTTCTCAGCACATTCACAGTCAGCCACCTTTTCACTGCTTCAGGGAACCATTAAGCTGCACAAAACCCCTATAAAATGAGTGATTGTTATCCCTATGGCACATTACTAGCTGCTCAGTGGAAGTCACAGGGTAAACTGGGAGTAGAACTCAGGCCCTCCGCATTGTAGGTAAGGCTAGAATTGATCTTCGGAATTCCCATCTTTCCCACATGCTACAACTGAGAATGGTGCCCCATTGCGCTGAGCGCTGTACATGCAAAGAGTGAAATACACTATGCTGGTGGGTAAGGCAATTATCTGAGAGGTAAGAGACACGGTTTTTAAGTTGTACCACTAAGAAATTAAGTATGGCCATGCTGGAAAAGATCAGCTGTCCATCTCGGCCAGTATCTTGTCTCTAATAGCATCATCACACTATGCTTCTATATTATGCTTCAGATTAATGTACAAGTACTGCGAATTTGTCCATTTTGGAGTGAGTTCCCTTTCTAGCACCTGTAAAGCAGAGGCTAGCTTTTCCCTGCAGGAGAACACCTATATATCCCTTCAAAACTCTTGGTTTCAGTTATGCCTTCTAGCTGTATCTACTAAACTGAAAAGAATAGTCACATTGCTGTTCAATAGTTATATATGAAAGCTGATCTCCATAGTTTTATGGAAAGAGTAGGGTCAGATCATCAGCCGGGGTAAATCTTTCTGTTGAAGTCACAGTTCCAGTGAAGTCAGCTGAGGATCTGGCAATGCGTATCGAGTCAGACTAGTGCAGTCAATAATCAAAGTAGTCTGAGGCTGAGATTTGTCATAATGCTCTCAGGAAAGTCCCTGTCCAATTCCCATTTACTGCGAATGAGAGGGTCCCAATCCCATATGAAGTTTTTAAAATTGCAACCTGCTGTTTAAAAGACTGCATCCACCAAGATCTTCAATTGGAAAGCTACAGAAACTCTCTTATCGAAAGCAAGGTGCCCTCTGCTCCAACAGATCAAAAATCACATCGTAGTGGTGCAGGATTCAGTCCATAGTTAAAATTATCACGAAAGCAACAATTGGAGCCAATTGTGTTAAACAGACTTACCCCGTTCACAAAGGCAATGAAGTCAGGAGAGGTGGATAGAACAACCCACAGTTCGCAGCACCTTTATATGCTTTCTTAGCCAATGGGAAGCAGAGGAAACACCCCTTATGCACTGAGACCTCATCCTTAACCAAACCAAATGTTTTTTTGCCTGGCTAATTCCTCTCTTTGTTGTAATGGTTTTGATCATGGTTAATCAATTACTCAATTCTCAGTCTCACATAGGATGACATGCACAATACACCCTGCAGTTTCTGTCATCTGAAATCTTTATGGGCAAGATACCTTCCTGGTATCATCCGATTAACGTGCTTGGTGTCAACACGGATACAAATGGAGTTCCATTTTTATTGTTCTGCTTTGAATTACTTCACAGTATGAGGGTGACTCAGGGGTGTATCACTACAATCTGCTGTCATGTACAGAATTTCGTGTGAGTTTGTTATACCCAAACTAGTATCTAATTAGCAGCAAGGTGGAGTTTCAGTCAGTTTAATGACCTTCGTACCAGGCCTTCTGGGTGACAATACCCTCGTAGAAAGAGGTCCAGATCATGCCCAGTGCTTAAGTTAAATCCCTCCTAAGCTTTCAAAGTAGAACTGAAGCAGGATCGAAGTGGTGCATATTATTTGTGTTCAACTCTGATTTTCAGTCTAGCCCTAATAGACATTCCAGTCCAAAGAGATGTCCAGTCAAGTGATCAGTGGTTAAGGTTAGGGACTCAGCTGAGGATCAGAACAGGACACTTAAGGTCCCCCTACTGCAGGGTTGTATAAAGATTTGGGATTAAAATCTTGGGACTGCTTCTCCATTAATGACCTCACAAGAGGGTGGTTTTCTTCTGGGGCAATGCTTCTGACAAAAAAAGCCCAGGAAGACTCACATGAGAGATCGAAATGAAGCCCACTAATCATGGCGAGATAGTTGAGGAATGAGCTTCCAGCAGAAATTAGACTAATCTAGGGCATGATTTACCTTTGCAAAGGATGCAAGGTCCTTCTCTTCTAGAAACTACCCCACCATTGCCCACATTTTTTCAACTGCTTTTTCATCTCAACTTGTTGGAAAGATGCCCGTTCAACTACCCCCACTTTTTGCTGCAAATCTAGATGAAGCCTGACATAGTCTGGCTTTGGTTGTTCTGTTGTGATCCCCATGTGAGTGCCTAACCTTAATACACTGATCACTTGACTGGACATCTCTTCAGACTGGAATGTCTAATAGCATTAGGCTGACAATCAGGGGTGAACATAAATAGTATGAACCACTTCCATCCTGCTTCAGTTCTATTTTGAAAATTTCAGAGGGATTTAACTTAAGCCGAGGGCATGTGCTGCCCTGTTTCCAGGAGACTATTGTAACCTAGAAGGCCTGTTTGAAGGTTATTGAACAGATTAAAAATTTATCCAAGGATTTCTAAAACATAATGGCTCAAACACATAGAAAAGAATTACAGGTGGGGATTTTAAGCATGCCCAATAAACTCTCCCACCTACCTAGGAGTTCCAGAGTAAACACCTTGCCACTAATTAGATTCTAGTTTGGATGTAATGAACTAACATGGACTCCTGTGCATGAGAGCAGATTGTGCTTATGATACATCCCTGAGTCACCCTCATAGTGTGAAATAATTCAAAGCAGAATGAAAGAAATGGAACTAGATTTATTCCTGTGTTGACACCAAGGAAGTTAGTAGGATGATACCAGGAAGCTATCTTGCTATAAAGATTTAAGAGGACAGGAACTGCAGAGTGTAATATGCATGTCATCCTACGTGGGACTGAGAATTGAGTAATTGTTTAACCATGATCAAAGCCATTGCCACAATTAGAGGTCTTAGCCAGGCAAGAAAACATTTGCTTTGGTTAATTATCAGGTCTCAGTGCACGAGGGGTGTTCCCTCTGCTTCCCATTGGCTAAGAAAGCATATAAAGGTGCTGGGAAGTGCGGGTTGTTCTATCCACTTCTCTTGACTTCATCCCCTTGGTGCACTGGGTAAGTCTATTTAACCCTATTTGTTTTAGTGATAGTTTTAAATATGAACTGAATGCTTCACCAATACTCTGTGACTCTAGAAACGCAGGAGAAGGGGGCATCGTGCTTTCCGTAGGAGACGTTCTGTAGCTTGTCAATTGCTGAGCGTGGTGCATGCAGTCTTAGCAATAGCAGGTTGGGATTTTCAAATCTACAGTTGGGATCGGCAGCCGCCCATTCCAAATAATTACTTTTGTTATATTCTCCTCTCTGCATATAGAGGGGGCAGTACAACCTGGGACCATTCCCAGTAGTAGCATTTAGGAGATCCTGGAGTTCACATGTTCAATTCTCTCATTAATCTCAATCAGGAGGGCCTGAGTTCTTCTCCCAGGTCACCCAGTGACTCAAGTCACTTCAACTGAGCCTCTAACCTGCCACAGGGATAATAACCACTCATTTCATAGGCGTTCTCCCCAGCTTAATGGTTGCCTTGAGCAGTGAAAAGCTGGTTTACTCTGAAGGTAGCAGAAAAGCTTTTGGAAGGTTTAAGAAGATGATTTAGGGTTGTATTGAAGTGGCCTCAAGAAACAGAGAGCTCGGAATCTCTTGTAGCACTCAGAATTGTGGTAACGTCTACTCTGCTCCCCACTGTGTGTTTTAGGTATACCACAATCCCAAAAGATGTCTTCCAGCAAAGCTCTGTGTTACCCACGCCCGCCATGTTATCCCGACATCTGCCCAGACCCCTATGTTGATGCCTGGAACGAGCCTTGTCTCACCTCATGCGGTGACTCGAGCGCAGTGGTCTATGCACCGCCGGTTGTCGTGAGATTCCCGGGACCGATTCTTGCTACCTGCCCTCAAGACAGCGTTGTGGGAAGTACCTTGCCAAATTTACCCTATGGGTATGGGGGCCTATATGGAGGTGGTAGTTTTGGTGGCTCAGTTGGATCTGGGGGTGCTTATGGAGGTGGATCCGGTGCTGGGTATGGTGGTAGATGTGGGGGCGGATATGGAGGGAAATACGGGGGCTTCTATGGGTATGGGAAGAGCTATGGTAGGAAGTGCTATTCTTCCCGCTTTGGAAGCTGTGGCCCATGTTAAAGAAAGATCCACGGAACAAGAAACAACCAGGAAATGAAAGCGACGATGGAGATTCGCCTCTTAGCTAATGGAAAAGGAGCACCTACAACTCCGCATGTAATCAGTGGGGGCTGTGTGTAAATCAGGCCAATCAAAGTCTTCCCTTCTTACATGTTACCTTAACTGTACGGTCTAAGAATTGTGCAGCTTAGTCTTATGCTCATATTGTGCTTTGTCCTCTTTGAAGCTGAAAGGTCTACAACAAGTAACTTAACTGGATGAAAAACAGGACACGGTTTTCAATTCTGCAGGTGTGGGAAAGAGAACAGAACATCTTGTGTCAAATGCATCACTTTAGAGATAGTGATTCATTGTAGCTCCTATTGTAACCCTGAATATACAGTCTCTGTGCTTTGCATTAACTCATTCTGTAAGTGTGAACTCCGACGCTCATTCCCATTAAAAATTATGCTGCATCTTAATATTGGCCTTCTGGTTTTCCTTTCCCCTCCATTCTTTCTTTCGAAAGCACTCGGGGTGAAATTCTCCCCTGTGCCGATGGTCAATACCAACCCTATGTACTAACCAATCCCACTCAAATCCATAAGTAAGAGAAGAATCAGGTACATTAGTTGGTTAATGGAATTATGCAGGCCCTCTACAGGGAGGAAATACCATGTTGTTACGTGTCTCACATAGAATTAAACTAAATATATAACTCTCAATTAGAATATGGTTTCTTGCTCTAAATAATATACAGAATTGTAGAATCTTTGTAATGTAGTAGTGGAAGGAACCTCAAGAGTACATCTTATGCAGCCCAGTGAGCTGAGGCTGAACCAAGTACACCTAGATCATCCCTGACAGGTGTTTGGCCAACCTGTTCTTTATACCTTCCGGGGATAGGGATTCCGCAAGTTCCCTTGAAAGTCTAAAATCAGTGCTTAACTATCATCAAAGTTAGAAATTTTAGGCCTATATATAACTTAAAACTCCCTAACTGCAGATTAAAATAGTTCCTCCTTGTGCTTCCTTTAGTGGACGTGGGCAACAATTGAACACCATCCCCTCTATAACAGCCCTGAACATACATGAAATCAGCTGTCAGATACTGCCCCCCTGCCCTTCCCTCAATTTTAATTTCTCAGGTCTAACTATACCGAGTTTTCTTTAACCTTTCCACATAGTTCAGGTATTCTAAAACTTTCACCATTTTTGTAGCTCTCCTCTGGACACACCCCAATAGGTCCACTTCTTTCGTGCTAATGTCTGTTGCCCAAAACCGGACAAAATGCTCCATCCGAAGCCCCACCGCTGCCAGTTAGAGCCGGACAATTTGCTTCCTAAGTATGGGACTTTGCAGTTGTCTTTATTGAATTGAAGCTTCTTGATTTCAGACCCTTTCTGCAATTTATCAAGGTCAGTTGGAGTTCAAGTCCTGTCTCCAAAGGGCTTTGAGACCCTTTCAACTTGGTGTCATCCACTAATTATCGAATTGTACTCTCCACACCAATACCCAAATCGTTAATGAAAATATCGCATAGTACAGGAACCATGAGTACCTCCTATGTCTCCCCGCGACATATGGCTTCCCACATTGAAAGAAAAAGCACTGGTCACTCGTCTTTGAGTATGGACTTTCTACCAGTTATGCAACCACATTTTAGAAATTTCATCTCAACTGTAACTAGCTCATAAAGAGATAGGCTCCCTTTCTGATAGTGTCTGAAGCTGTAACCGGAAGCATGAGGAGCTACAGGGGAGAAGGACCAGGAAACAAGGATATTTTCTGTGGTGAGTCTTTCAGTCCCATCCACAACTCAATTCCAGAGAGCTGGGAGATATAGATCCCTCCCATCATCCCACCTCAAATACTGAATGCACGTGCGCCCCTTGAAAAACTACACATGCAGCAAAATTATGAGAAAATGTACCAGGACATACAAAACAAAATAGTGATATAAACATCAGAACAATGCAAATTCAGCACGTGTATCCCAATCTCCAGCTAAATCTTGCCAACTGCTTGCCCTAAATCTTGCCCACCAGCCAACTTTTCATGTCACGCCAAATTGTGTTTGGGTTTCCACACATTCCAATTTTGTCTGGAGCAGGAAGAAAGACTGAATAGCTCTTTGCTCCTTTCCAAGATGAAACAACGGGGCCAGAGAGGTTTGCAGCTACGTCCCAGGCAAAGAGAGGTCTCCTCAGTGCCGGGGAGAAACTCGAGCCATAATCCAGTGCCAAGCTGGCTGTCATGGATTGGGAGGAGCACAAAGTCCATGCCATCCCGAGTACAGGTATGCAACCTCACCCCGATGCGGGACAGTGTTGGAGAGCCACGGGGGAAAAGACTGAGTCAGACTTGCATATGAGGAGACCGAAGAGAGGGGATCAATCTGAGCAAAATGTGTCAGGCTATCTATGACTAGAACCAAGGCCAAGATTTTCAGAAGTGACTAGTGATTGCTGATGCCTCATGTCTTGGGTGCTCAACTCGAGTTACCATGACAGGGCCTTTCTGATATTGCTCAGCGCTCGTCTTCTGAAAAGAGAACTCCATGAATGTTCCTCTGGCAGCCCAAAACTGAGTCTCCCAATAACACCTGATCCTTCAGAAAATCATGACGTAACTAGATAGCTTGGCAAGATTAAAGGCTTGGCTTTGCCCTGCCTCTGGTACAAGACACAGGTCTGGATTCTGTTCTCCTTTGCACTTGTAAAAACCCAGCACTGCTCCTTTGTCCTCTACAGAGTAACCCCAGAATTACAACAGTTTAACATGAGAATTTACCCTTTTGTGTCTTTATCACTAGCTTAGTGGGTTCTTCACTAGCTTGTTGTTCACTCGTTACAAAGTGAGGTTACAAAAAACTGTGCATGTTTAAACTTCAGAAATTGAAAACAGAGGGAGAGACCTGACAACAGTCTTCATGTATGTTCAGGGCAGTTATAGAGAGGATGGTGATCAATTGTTCTCCATGTACACTAATGTTAGGACAAGGAGTAATTGACTTAACCTGCAACAAGGGACATTTAGGTTTCATACAAGCATAAACTTTCTAACTATCATGATCGTTAAGCTGTGATTTTAAGCTTTTAAGGGAAGTAATGGAATCCCCGTCACTGGAGGTTTTAAGAACAAGATATACAAACACATCAGGGATTGTTTAGGTGTGCTTGGTCCTGTCTGAGTGTACAGAGATGGACTACATAAGAACATAGGAATGGCCCTGCTGGGTCAGACCAAAGGTCCATCTAGCCCAGTATCCTGTCTTCCAACAGCGGGCAGCGCCCGAAGCCCCAGAGGGACTTAACAGAAGAAGTCGTCATCAAGTGATCCATCTCGTGTTGCCCATTCCCAGCTTCTGGCAGACAGAGGCTAGGGACACCATTCCTGCCCATCCTGGCTAATAGCCATTGATGGACCTGTCCTCCATGAATTTATCTCGTTCTTTTTTGAACCCTGTTATAGTCTTGGCCTTCACAACATCCTCTGGCACGGAGTTCCACAGGTTGACTGTGCGTTATGTGAAGAAATACTTCCTTTTATTTGTTTTAAACCTGCTACCTATTAATTTCATTGGGTGACCCCTAGTTCTTGTGTTATGAGAAGGAGTAAACAACACGTCCCTATCTGCTTTCTCTACACCAGTCATGATTTTATAGACCTCAATCATAGCTCCCATTAGCCATCTCTTTTAGAAGCTGAAAAGTCCCAGTCTTATTAATCTCTCCTCATACGGAAGCCGTTCCATACCCCAAATCATTTTTGTTGCCCTTTACATGACCTCTGAAGGTGTCCTCCACCCTTATACTTACAGAATTCTATGATTCTATAGAAAATTTAGAGCAGGGAAACATATTCTTGTTGAAAGTTATTTATTCATTCATTCCCATTCTAAAAGAAACAAGTGTAACAAGGAGGTAACTCCCTCCTGTGCAGAGGCCCTAGACAGTGATATTGGTCAATTAAAATACCTGACTCTCTTCTCACTTATGGGCTTGAGTGTGATTGATGCAGTGCATAGGGTTGGTATTGACCATCGGCAAAGGGGAGAATTTCACCCAGAGTGCTTTGGAAAAAAAGAATGGAGGAGAAAGGAAAACCAGAAAGTCAAGAATGTAATGCCACATAGTTTTTAATGGGAATGACCAGTGCACTTTACATTGCAGAATGAATTAATGCAGAGCACAGAGAATGTATTTTCAGCGGAACAATAGGAGCTAAAAGCAATCACTCTCTAAAAAGCGTGCATTTTGCACAAGATGTTCTGCTGTTTTTCTTTCAGCTGTACGTTTTGAAATTATGTTCCATTTTTCATCAAATTAAGCTCTTGTTGTAGACCTTTCACCATCAAATAGGATAAAGCACAAGAGGAGCTGCAAAACCATTAGACTATAAAGTTAAGGTAGTATATAACAAGGGGACAATATAGATAGGCCTGATTTGTACACAGCCCCCAATGATGTCATATGGAGATGTACGTGCTCATCGTCCATTCGGTGAGTGGGGAATCTTTATCTTCTATTTCATTTCCTGGTTGTTTCTTGTTCCGTGGACGTTTCTTCTGGGTTTAACATGGACCACAGCTTCCAAAGCGGGAAGAATAGCACTTCCTCCCATAGCTCTTCCCA